GATAACACTTAGGCATGGCTAGAGACAATTAAAATCAAACGAGCACAGTTAAAGGATATAATATGTTTTGAAGTGGAAATTGTAAGGGTTATGTTATATCTTAACAGCCCTCAAAACAAGAACTTCTGGGGCTGTTTGTCTGAAGGGTATCTGAATATCTCTATCTATAGGATAAATCAAAATTACTACAAATTGGCGAAAAATTAAACAGGAAATTCTGGAAGGGTGGGAGGGATGTGATAGGGGTAAACTCTTCACCCTTTTTAGATTTTAGTATTCTCAAATTTTCAGGACTTCTGGTAAGATTTCCCATCACGCTCAAAAAAATAATAATGTATTATAAATATAAGCTTAGAATTTCAACAATTATTGCAGGCACATCAACACCTTAYAGGGCTACTTGGACGAAAATTGCAAAACATTAGAAGAAGACTTGGAAACCAAATAGACCTATCCATATGGGTCAAAYAATCTTGAAGCAACAGATTTTAACAAGATATTGATACAAATTCTTAATAATTTGGGCAAAAAATGCTGGAGTAGATGATGGCATTTACTCCATCCTTTTGTTCTTCCATCTTTTGAATCAAAATTTCTCTGATGTGGGATAATTCCAAAACAAATATTTTCCCGCAATTGTTTTTAATAGATATAAATGAGTCATATATTTGTATTGATTGAAGTTTTTTGAATTATCTTACAAATAAGCTTAACAAATTGCCAGGAATAATTAACTGGGCTTATGCCGACCTTAGTTTTACCTTTTCGTCAATCTATTTATCTGTGTATTATGTCGCGTTTGGTCACCGGAAGTCTAAAGAATATCATTGTTTTAGAACTGGTAATCAAACAACTTCAATTGGGATCCCTGTGTCATTGTGTCACATGACATCCATAAGTCTACCTCGGAGTCTGCAGCACATCATCCTCTAATACAGCATTGTGCATGACTTATATACTATTAAATTTGCTTATTAAGAACCATGTGGGAGGATAAGTGCTTTATGTAACTGAATAAAAGATATGCATATGCTCAGCGCACTAAATCTCCCATCCAATCACACGTTCACAGGTAGCCCAGACTCAAAAATATACAATAATAATCTTAATAATCAGCCTATCATGTGCTCACCTACGAAGTAAYGTGTCAACCAAAATTACCAATAACTTCCTTGTGAAATAGCACAGGAATGCCAAAGTCACATCAGCAACCACATTATCCATAATGCTTTAATGTATTATACTTGCTTGTCWCATAGTGGTGGCGCTTTCTACACTACGATTGTGCGACATTTGATTTTGAGGTATTTTGCAAAGATGTCGAAAAAACATGCCGAGATGCTCAACCAACTTACAAATGCACATGCCGTTCGCGCCGTAGACTCACGCTAAAGGATGTCAATGAGCGTATGTTTCGAAACGAGTCATTCCGCGAACTCAAAAGCTCAAAGAACACTCAAAGATATACTCAAAGCAAACTCAAAAAACTGAAATATACTCAAAGAATACTCAGAAATACTTGTTTTGTAAAATTCTTATTTTATTTTATTTTTTATTTMATTTTTATTTTTCATTTACTCGGGCCGCAACACGTATAATTTTTTTTTTTTCCAAGTCAGAAGTTTGCCTTCGGGTCTCCCGATCGCCCTCCGATCTCTATACGAAATATCGCATTACGAACTCAGCTGAATACAATTGTATCAGATAGAACAGTTACAGCTGTAACTGTTCGGGAGTTACTGTAGCTTTTATAGTATTATACAATTAGAATAAGTCTACATATTTTTACTTTGTTTCACATGAAAGACTATCACGATTTGAGTCACGTCTACATTCCTTGCGTGATTTTACCGTGTAGATTTTGTCATCTAGTTCCTTCAAAAGCTGCTACATTTGTAAATATTGCATGAAAAGTAATCAACAACAACGAGTTACTTTCACAAATTTTACTCTTAATATAATGTGATTTCAAATCACTTCATGATGTATTTTCATGGTTGGGCGTATAGGCGAACAAGTAAAAAGTTTTTAAATGAGCTCAATTTGAAAAAGTACTGAACATTAGCCATGACTTTTCGACACCTAGGGCACAAGTACACCCTGCTGTCATGAGAACAGGGTCTAGTTGGATCTTAAAACAATGCTTTTTGTAGGTATTTCTTGACCAGCCTAACGCATTGAGCCGTGATAATCCCATACATTCTTACCAATTTTCGATCGCTCGCATTTCTGTTAAAAAGCATTATTTTGGCTCAAGATTTTGTAATGATCCTTTAATTTAGATGTTCTTGAGGGCAATAACAACATTTCGCTAATAATGTGGAGAATATCACGTGATCATTGCAAACAATCAATAAATGAAACGAAAACTGCGAAACGCGGCAAACCAAACACTCATAAGCTAAAAATTTAGTCAACTTCACTATTATGGCAACAGTTATGTGTGAACAATCAATAAATGAAACGAAAACTGCGAAACGCGGCAAACCAAACACTCATAAGCTAAAAATTTAGTCAACTTCACTATTATGGCAACAGTTATGTGTGAACAATCAATAAATGAAACGAAAACTGCGAAACGCGGCAAACCAAACACTCATAAGCTAAAAATTTAGTCAACTTCACTATTATGGCAATAGCCGTGTGATCTTACCTCCAAAAAACGGCGGAATATTTCACAGCAAATTCTTGATCTTCACTTCACGCATACTTTCCATCCATGGCACACAATATTGGTTTTCCTGTGGTGATGACGTTGAGATGACGTATTTTCTGATCGTCTGACGCCGATCAATGCTACCTGTCGGGGGTACCCAGAGGAATGTAATTTTCTAGAAAACTATTTATCGCTAATATACTAATCTGAAAGCTCARTCATTAAAAAAATAGATTTTTAACAATAAAAGTGTTCATTCTTTCCTTAGAAATGTATTTTTATTCATTGAAATACAAGTCAATTTATCATACTAAAAACACAACTTTTCCCTGCACCCCACAACAAGAAATTTTCAAATTGGTAACGAGGCTTCAGTGGCTGATAACGAGGCTCTCCCGTCGTCAAAACAAAAAACTGAAGTTTGTGAAGACAAAAATATCTCTGARAATAACCACTTTGAATTCTACATAATAATGGTAAAAGGAGCTACARGCTTTTTCTTAGATGTTAGCTCACAYTGATCGTTTTACTCTGTCATTTTAGGCTGCTTCTGATGAGAGATTTGCTTTTCTTGCCGAGTGGTATGATCCTCGTGCAGCGTTGATGCGAAAGTACCAACTACTGTTTTACCCATCTGACAGCTCGGTTGAAATGGTAAGAAAGCACTTAACAGCCCATGTTATAACACTAWAAGCTCTTATTTCTCTATCTTTTAAAAGATCAGCTGAGATTAAACTGCGATTCTTTTATTCGCGAAGTGTTACTTTTTTTTGGCGGTTTTTTTCTTGTGCGCGCTAAAATTCAACTTGTTGAGTTGTTTCTTKAATTTCCTTGACAGTATGATATCAAGAACAGAAGATTATTTTTGAAAAGATCKATTATAGATGGCCTGAAAATGCAAGACTTGTACATCGGGGCTATAGTAAACATTCATTCACGACAGGTAAATATAGAGCGGTATAGGTTGGGGAGGGGTGGGGTGGGGGAGGGGTTTGTGTAAGGCTCAGCCTATATAACAGTAGACCAGTGGAGTTATTTGTTGTTTGGACTCCTTTATTTTACGAGGCCCTCCAAAGATTTTTGGCAATATTAAGCAATAACTTCTCAAAAATTGCCAAAAATATGTATCAACTTAAAAAGAACATTTGACAGCCAAAAGACTGCAAAAAAGAACTTAACTACAAAAAATAACAATTATTGGTTTGTGCAAACTTGTAGCAGCTTGAGTCTTCTTCCAGGGCCTCTTTATGTGTAAGAAATGACCTCATCAATTTTACTGATTATTGCCAAGTGTCACTTAGATTAATATTTGCTTTGAAATGGTTTTGTTGACAGCTTACAATTACAGATTTTGCTGATAATTTTACATCTTCAAAACTCAAATCAATCAATGAACAGTAAGTCACAAAATGTGTGTAATGTCAAAGCTATTGAGGTTACCATGACAATCAAGTCATCCCTTAGCATCCATCACACTGATTTCTGAGTTGAACTGTTTTGATACAAAAAATGAAAATATGTGATAAAATGTATGATTGGGAACAATGGTAAAAATACTTCAGACTGCAAATGCATAAATGTAGTGATTGAAAACAATAAAAACAAGTGAATGTTTTGCAAAAATGACAAGAACATGCAAAGCAAGCAGGCAGCATATATTGCAGATAGTGCATGCATGTACAGAAATTGCAGACATCACCAGTATACTGGTACTGCTTATTGGTCAGCATCTGTTTATCAAAAGATGATCTTGAATCACTATTCAGCTAATTATTTTTTGTTAATTTTCCAGAACGCTCGCTATGATCAAACCTGATGCTATCAGTCATTTAGGTAATTATTGTTGTCATTGATGTTGGGTGTTATACACTAGCGGTCATTATTATAGCAGATCATTCATTTTAGTGTTGTTGCTTCCAGTAGGCACTCGATCTTTGAATTTCTTAGCAACCTGCATACCCTTGGGAACTTGTCATTAATTTTATGTTTTAACAATATTTTAAACCAATAGTCAATTATAAAGTACCATGTGAAATCCATGAAACTATTTTATCACATCAAAAAATCATTCAGTCAAATCGTTTATTGGCAGGCAGATTGTGAAAATGATAATAGTACTACTATTAWTGAAAATTAATGATAAGTTCCCAAGGGTTTGCAGGTTGCTAAGAAATTCAAAGAGTGCCTACTGGAAGCAACAATGAATAAAACGTTACACTAATGATCTTGTTTTCAGAATTAATGTTTACACTAATTTGCACTTTATTGATGTTTCCAGGCAGTATTATAGAAATGATTGACAAGGAAGGTCTTATYATTTGTCAAGCTAAGATGGTATGGATGTCAAGGTACAATTATTCCAAATAGAATATAATGAATGATATAATAATATAGTGCATTAATGCAAAGTCTTCTGTTAACACTCCGCTTTATTCCTATTTTTTTAAACATTGTTTAAAATTACTTTCTAATTAAAAGGGAAAACCTCTTTATAATTTTAAAAGTTAGCAGTTTAGAAAACGTCAACTGCAAACTAACATGAYGGTGGACAYRCAGATTTCTTAGTTTTATTTACATTTGTTTATAGACAAGAGGCCTCAGAGTTTTATAGTGACCATGCATCCATGCCATATTATGAGTAAGTGATGATAGTTTGTTTTATTTGATATTAAAATCCTAAT